CTAGTACAGGGCAAACTATCTATGTATTTCAAGCTACTCAAGTGACTGAGCCTTTTCAGGCACTCCTTCAACAAGGGGTTGCAACACTTTTTTTCTACCATGGAAATAGTGTGCCCGATATACTTGGGTTAAGTTTCATTCATCTGATCTTGTATCCATGTCAAATGATAGGGTCAATCGATAGCATTCGTGTATCAAGGCGATCCTAGAAAGAAACTTGAGTTTCCCATGACAAACCACGTTGGCATCGAGCGTTTGTGGCTATAGGAAACTTCCCGTTTTTTCTTTTCCTATAAACTCACCGTCATTACCATGACATAAGTATAATGTATAGCCGTTATCGGCAAAGATGCGTAAGCATAATTCCGCCATTGTTTCAGGTAGTTTATTTCTTACAGGATAAAACAAGATATACCTGAAGGCCACATCAAACAAAACATGTAGAAAACCTACTTCTCATCATGTAGTCCGACTACATGATGACAAAATCAGTTTTGACCCTGCGCATAGGTTAATCTTCGAGCACCGACTTATGTGGGGTTCGAACATAGTGCTTGATTTGGTTTCTTTCGCAATCAACACACCTCAAGTACTCTTACTCACAGAGTTTACGCAGATTAAAGTTGATCAGGCCTCTGCGCTTCACTTCAGCGGCCATTGTATCTACTGCTGAATACGTCAGATAATGATATTGCTTGATCTACATACGTGTATCAACATCTGACGTCCGTGGAGAAGTTTGTACTTCTCCTGAACTTAAACGAGAAAGAAATTTCCCTTTGTGTTATAGGCTCCTCACAATGTCTGAATAGCTGAATCATTCCTATATGTAGATTTATCTATGTCCATGTACATCTTGTATTGATTTCTCTATATAATCATCAGTCTTAAGACTACTTGAATCTCGCCCATAGGTTTAATTTAATTCAATCAACTAATTAAGTTGATCATTAACTTCGGACATATCATTCCTTAAGGAAGATATGATTCTAGTACGAGCTTCCTCAGTTGCTCCCTTCATACTACTGTAAAAGCGATCGACTATGACTTTTGCTATACTTTCATGCAAAGTAGACATAAATACTTCTCGGGAACTTTGCGGAGTGGTTTGTCGACTGTTAACCTCTCTGTGTTACAACATCTTTTGATTTTCGCTATCTAGTTTGTTAAGCGGAATGGTATATTCATCTACCCTACGTTGAAAGTTCTCTAAAGGCTTCCAGGTCGAAGTTCCTTTGGGGCCAATACGACATAACATCATAGGTCGAAATCTTAGTCATCACATTCATCAGAACAAGGGAAGTGATCCTATACAATACAGATCTCTGACTCAAAGCTTTTCAATAAGTAACCGGCAACAAACTCCACATTACAAGCTCTATAAACAGAAACAGAATACTCAATCTGTGTTCCGCAATCCATGGACATCAAACTCACTTGAGCATAAACTAAGCAAGACACAAGGAGTCAGTGCAACCAGTGGGAACAAACCACCATCCAAACGAACATAGACAATAAACAAATGAATTCAGACTCCAAGGATAACACATGAAATACAAAACATACATCAAACATGACCAAATCACAGGTACAAAAGAAGATGACAATGCAATAAGGAACATTCAGGTGCATAGACCTTGAATACACACTCTGCAAATATCACAGAAGCCAGAGGTAGGGATAGAACAATCTTCAGATACCTAGAAGCTTGGTAACATAAAGAAATTCACAACATCTGTTTTTAAGTACACACGAACACCAAAAGACACACACAGACATTCCACAGGTTATGGAGAAACACAACCAAGAAATACAGAAAATAAGTGCACACACGACAAACTGTAGAATTTTGGTACCCAGCACGAGACACTTTTCACAAAAACAAAAACCATAACTTTCCACAAAAACCATAAACCAAGGTCGCCAACACAGCAAACTGAGTTGACACGGAAAACCAAGTTAATAGTAAATAAGACCAATAAACCACAATAAACCAGAGTTTATCCACTAAAGACTCAATGCGAGTCCTCCAGCCTAGTACTTTTACCTAGCTGAAAGATTCGCATTTGCGAAGACGTTTATTGTTTCCTTTGGTCGTGTCTTATCAGTTACTCTCAAACTCCGTTAGCAAAGGGACAACCTACACTAGCTATCTCTTTACTAGTCATTTGCTTGCAGCACAACGTATTCCGATCAAAAAGAGACCGGAACTCGGCAAAATTTTCACATGAGGATTGGTACACACCGTGCGTCTTTTTACAGCCAGTACACTCTAAGAGTACCGACCTCGCTGAGCTTGTAACAACTGGTCAATATACTTCTGCTTGATCGTGATAAGCTTAGCGTAGTTGTCAAGTTCAGCCATTTCACGGGTATCATGAGCAATCTCCATCTTAACTGTGAGCTCGTCGGCAGATGTGTTGAGGACATCTAGGTCGGGAGATAGAAATACATCCGCGAGTTGATGCTTAGGGCTTAGATTTCGGAGTTATGTCCTTCTTTCATCCATGTAGATTTCGTACAAGTCTTCTAGAGATATCTCTATATCTGATATAAATGCGATTCGGTTGATATACAAGAAACTTGTGTAAAGTATGTCTAGCCTGGTTGACTGTCTAGTACGATTATAAAATAATACGTAAACAAGTCGATATCAAAGAAAGAAAGAATTCTGACTTCAGCCCTTATGATTGCCCATATGGTTCCGTCCCTCACTACTTCGGTCTCAATTTTAAGGTGTCAACAACTAAGATCGAAACGATATTCATTGATTTCTTCTCACCATTCAAATATATTATTCAATCATAGAAGTTAACGGCTACATAATAAT